AGCTCAAATGGAGCAGAATTTGTTCTCCCTCTCTGATGCCGCAGTCGCTTTAAAGACAACTCAGATTTCCAGGTGACCCTAACAGACGGGTTCCCTGCTGTTGTATTAAGGACACTGTCTCAAAGCAGGAGCTAGTTCAAGCTCAGTGCAAGATTTATTTTCATTGCAGCTATGCCTTGCAGGGCTTCGAAAGGCACAAGTGTTAACTGACCCGAAAACAAGGCCCCGTAGCTCCGCGGTCAGACACATGTGCACCTGGTACACCAAGAACTGTTCCAGAACAGACTAGTTCAGCCCGGCTCCTGCTGCCTTGGCTACAGAAAGGCGCTGGCTGATGGCTATACTGCTGTCTTTAACAAGAATGTCAACTTCAAATCAAATCAGCGGGAACATTTCAGACTGAGTCAGTCCTGTCACCAGGATCGTACCTCCTGGCATCAACTCAAATACCTTCCCGTTTTCATTTACTGCACTGAGCCTAACGATGTGCTGACCAGTGCTGGATTTTAAGTTTCTTTGCCACACTTCCCAGTAAATTAGAGGCATCACTTCCCATGACTCCACAATTCCCCTTCTAGGAATTAGCTGTTTTAAACTATCAGCATCAAGCAAGTGATTCCTGGGCTACCTTGATGCTTAATTTTCAACAGGTACTGAGGATGTAAGCATCTGTCAGGACCAGGCATCACAGGAACACACTCCTGATACTCAAAGTAGCCAACATACATAGTAACATACTACTCCTTTCATCCAACACAGTATGGATGGGAAGAAGCAACACCAACATAAAACCCGAACCTTCCTTGAACACCAGAAATTGGTCTATTAAGATTATACTTACCTTGCAACATCACTCTCATACCCCCAAATCTAAGATAGTAAGTAATTTCTGACATAAAAACATAAAAGTAGTAAATGCAGTATAATGTCTAAGACATGCGATTTTTTTGCCTATTCAATACTGGATTTATTTGGCAAAGTGTACAACAGAATTGCACCAGTCATAAAATCACAGAATGGTTTGGGTTAGAAGGGACCTTAAAGACCATCTAGTTCCAACCCCCCTGCCATGGGCAGGGACACCTTCCACTAGACCAGGTTGCTCAAAGCCTCATCCAGCCTGGCCTTGAACGCTTCCAGGGATGGGGCATCCACAGCTTCTCTGGGCAACCTGTTCCAGTGCCTCACCACCCTCTCCAGGAAGAATTTCTTCCTGATATCCAATCTAAACCTCCCCGCTTTCAGTTTAAACCTGTAAGTCACTCTGTAACAGTTAAAACCCAAGGTAGTGCTGCTGCAACCCACATCCTTGGGCTCACAAAGAATTGCTCCTCTCTCCCTCTCCCCAGGATGCTCAACACTTCCTGCAGTTTGGCTGTAAGACCGAGCTGCTTCCCATTAAGAGTGGGACCTTGGATCTGTTGACAGCATTACTCTCCTACAAAGTAGTAAGGAATTGAAGGAATTACAGACTGCACAGGCTGAGACAGTAGCTGTGACTTACAGGTGGGCAGCATATTTACAGTAAGGGCACACTTTAAAATCTGAGTTTATTTCATTGCAGACATGATAATAGTGTTTTGGTCAAGACTGGGAATTATTTTGAAAAGCTATTACCATTTTGGATTTCTCTGTTATTACAGTTGCGAGCTTACTACGGCATGTTCTTTGGAGTCACGTATTCACAACCCCTCTTTCAACTCCATTGGCAGCATTTTTTCTAATAACATACTGAAATCCTAAAAAATTTCTAGCTAGGCTCTGGCTTAGTTGCCATGGCAGATGGAAGATACTGCTGTCCTAGAGGAAAAAACAAAACGACATGCAGAAATGACACGTTAGGTGTTCTGACAGCCTTCACAGTCCAAGCATCTCACCACTAAACAAAGGAAAACTTCCTTGAGATGAGGACGGTCCCATTGCCTGGCTTTCAAGTGTTTGTTGCAGCCCCCTTTCCAGTTGCTTTGTACTTACACAAAACCATTTGCTTCATGAGAGTCAGCAAAGCTAACACAGACCAAAACTCCAAGAGCAAACTTCGTTCAGCAATCGCAAAGAGCGTTTCTGGAGCAGCGACTACCCAAGGCTGACGTAGCTGGGACAACTCCCAGTTTACTCACAGCGGAGCAGCCCACTTTGTAAGACAAAACGTCGCAATGAGCTGCACAGTTTGATCACGTTTGTGCTATAATTAAGTTGCATTTCTCCTTGCTTATCACCACCAAATAAACACCGAATTGTAACTGGCGTGGCAGTCACAACGGGGCAAACACTGGCTTCAGCAAGGGACCTTAAGAACTGTGCTCACTCACAAAAACTGACTTCTAAACGAGCATTTAGAAAGTAGAAAATTTGCTACTACAAAACCCAAACCAGGCAAAATTTAAAAGTTTCAACAAACTCGCTCTAAAAAGAGGCAAGTAAATTAACTGTACTTTGTGATGGTAAAACTACTTTGCTTCAAGGGAAATTCTGCTCAGCTGATGAATACTGAAAGGCTTCAAAAGATTAATTAAATAATCCTATGGTTCCTCCTTAATGAATAATACTAATTATGAATATACACTGTACTCAGTGTGTGCCTTTGGAATTAATTTGGCACCTGTGACTTTAGTTGACGTATCACTGCTTTCATCAGAACCGTCTAGATTTTGGTTTTGGAAGGGTTTATTAACTGAAGAACTCATTTTATTCACCGCTTAACCTCTGATGTTCTTACTTATTTCACTGTTAAGACAGCAGCTTGTCAAGGAAACCTACAGAAAAAAACAAACAAACAAACAAAAAAAACAACTGCATCTACAGACGACAAACTTGGTCTTGCTGGGTCTTTTTGGTTTGGGGTTTGCTCCATGCACACACAACACCCCCACCCCCAGGCACCTCTAGAGTTCTGAGAAGACCACGCAGGGTCAGAGATGAAGCCGTGAGCCTCTTTAAAGATGCACTGCTAGACATTCCCTATTAATCACAAACAAGAACCGGAGAACAATTAAAGAGGTTGGAGCGCAAGAGAAGACAATGAAGTTTCATGCCCAGTTGGGCCCCTACCAGACTACAACGAGAAGCGTTGCACTCGCAATGCCTCACGTGCACCTCCGAATTATTCTGATCCCCAAGTTACGCCTACACAACAAGCGGAGATTTAACAGCCAGAGCCCAAAGCCCAGCTCTGCTGCTTTACACCTACTCATCACCATTGCAGCGTTACAACAAAGGGACAAAAGCTCCCAGGCTGAAGACGAGGCTCTGGGCCAGGACTTGGACTCCCAAGCAGTTAGCTTTTACCCTTCCACCGTTACGGTCATGTGCGCAGGAAAGGATTTGCCTCAGTTTATACTGCACTTATATTTGGCTTTGCTGTGTAGGTGCAACCAGTCCAATTGTAGTAACTGACTACACAATTACAACTCCCTTAAGACACAATATTTTTTTTGTTTACATGGTTTTGCCTTTAAAAAACAAATTAATAGTTGGTTGGCATCAATACCTTCTTCCTACAAGTGGCAACAACCAAGTGCTACAGAAATAAATTTGAATCAAAACCACCGCTAACCCAGGTCTGATGCACACGCCTGTCCCACACCGGCAAGACTCTCACTTTATGGAAATCGGAATTTCATACAGTAAATACACTGCAACTTCACCAGCTCCAAATAGTAAGAAAGAAATGTTGACGCCGTGCTTTTCCTTTTTTAAACAAATATTACAAAATTGAATTTTATTGAGTTTCACACAAGATGCACTTATAAAATTGATACAGAATGTCATTCAACAGAAAAAAAAAAGTGAAAGCGATTCCAAGCTTCCTTTAGCAAGTGCTAAATAATTCAAACATAAAATACAGCAAACTGACAGATAATCTGAATTTCAATGTGTGAACATTTCCAATTAGTACAAAATACATCAAAAATTAAAGGATTTCCTGTTTTCCCCCAGCACAAGTCCTCCTCTTTTCAGTCTCATCCCTGAACTGTAACCACAGGTTTCGGCCCTTACCTCAGCTACTCTTGATGGGAGAGGAAAGGCTAAAGGCTGCAGCAGGAAGTTCCCACCACAGCAGCCCACGCCAGCCTGTATGCCAAAGCGCTCCCACTACCAGGTCTGCTCAGGCACACAGTAACTGCCCAACGGTCTCCATCTGCAAGTAGTCCTGCAAGTTTCAGGGAACAGCATATACATTAAGCTTTCACATGTTCATAAACCAAATAAACTTTGGCTTTCCCACTCTGGCAAGTTACGAAATTAGCAGAGCAGGTTTTGCCTTCATTTGTTCAGTTCCAAAGTACTTTCATGGCACCTTCCCCTGGAAAGCGAAACTGGTGCTTACTTAAATATCTGAAAGGCATTTGAAGTTAATGCTGTCTTCTAACAATATATGAAGAATTCATCGTTAACTAAAAGGTCTCTCCTGATACAAGTCTCCAGCCTAAGTTTTCAGCTCAAATTTATTCCATTCGTGGTCTGAGGGTTCCAAACCATCTTTCATCAGTTCTTCCCACAACTACTTCTTCCCACATCAGAAATTAAGCAGCATTGCAATGCTTTAACGTTCTTTATAGATCTAGTCCCTCTACTTAAGCTTGGCTAAACCCAATCAATTAAAACGGATAATTGATTTGATTGTCAGCATGAGCTTTTATAGGCATGTTCTCAGGCAAGTCACAGATGTCATTCTTATCAGAGTTAAACCCAAAATGCAGTGCGATATTCTTTTCTGCTGCGTTAATGCCACACATACAGCTCCAACACAACAGTTGCTTGCTGCAATTAACCCTGCCTTTTCTCAACGTACAGAAGTGCCCCTTTGTTCCTTTTTTCCTACAGCAACAAAAAATCCTCAGCTTTTAGGAAGAATTTTATAAATAACTTGCCTTGCAGGACACACAACACAAGAAATGATTATGTTTCATATTTGCCCAGTTAAGCAGAACCTTCATTACTGTGATCTTTCCTTGGCATTTAATATTTCGATAAAATAGTATGCAGTCTTTCATTTAAAAGGCAAAATTTTATTCTGATTACAAGATTTTCAAGAAACTTCTTGAAAAGATTTTTGTGACAAGAATAACTATCCCGACTTACTGCTTTATGTACCAATGCTTTATGCGTTTGCTGATATAAGCACAAGTTTTGAATTCTGCTTGCAGATGTTTAACAAAACAAGGTAACTGGAAAGGCAAGCTTCCGGTCAAGCTGTCACACATTTCCAGGAATATCCTTACACTGGAGGAACCTTCACGGGAAGTAGTATGTTCTGGAAGCATGGTTTTGTAACGCAGAACAGGATTATGCTTTTTTTTCTTCCAGTCTATTTTCCAGACAAGTGATACTGCAGCTCTGCCACCAGGCTAGAGACTCACGATCCAGCACATTTTCCAAGTGGCAAGTTAAAGATCACTTACTTGACCTGACCAGATACCAAGCCAAGTTACTTGTAGAAAGAAATTAATATTTTCTGCCATTAATAATTTAAGTTTTTAAATAAATATTTATGTGCCTTTTTTTGGCAACTGTCCATTCTGGTAGCATCTGCTGTCCCAACAGCTCAGTATCCTCAGCACATTGCTTAAAAAACCCATCTTAGTCAATTCTGTTTCCACAAATAGTAAACCTGTCTATCTCCAGCAAGTCTTTCTTTGAAGACCTGTGTTTTAATTCTGAACTGTCTTGGCTTATATCTTTTTCTTCTCCATCTGGAGTTGTCAGAAATTGATCAGAATTGCTTGTTACAAGTAAAGATGGCGTATTCTCCTTCTGATGCACAGGCTGATTGGTAACTGATGCAGATCCATTTTCATCTGTGGAAATTCCTGTTGGAACAGAAGACAATTACAGAGATGATAATAAATTTAACACAGACATACGGATGCATATAGAACATCCAGATTTATCCAAAGCAATCCTGAAATGGTGCTGCATCAAATCAGTAGAATCAACAGAAGAATGTTTTGTGGAAACCACTACACCCAGCCACTACCTCTTCTTAGGTTTACCATCAGATTTTTTCTTTTCTAATTTGGTAGAAGTACAGAAAACAGATTCTACTGAAGTGCAGACAAGGAGCATAAACAGCGGATGTTAGGACATACACTGCATTCTTCTGGTTTACATACTCATTTTTGTTGGCTTAGGCAACAAGATTTTTGGCAGTCATTGTGTGAAACACACAAATATTTTCTGCTGAAAAGAAGAAAAGGAATCTCTGCAGTGGGAACTAGATGTGCCTAATCCTCTACATATGTACAATAAACCTGGCTTCTCTAGGGACAGCTAATAAATGACTCATGCACCGCTCCTAGAGCGGCTCTATTAAAGATGTCTATTTTTATTCCTGCCTCTTACTTCAGTGGAATTGAACACTGGGTCCATTAACCTAAGATACTTTTAAGTAATATCCATGTATTGTTTCTGCATTTTGTAAAAAACATTTGAAGAATTAAATTGCACAAGAAAATAAATTGTTATTACTAAGTAATAAGTATTTTCTATAACCCAGCAGCTTCCAGAGAAAGCTGGTCAGCCTATAAACAATCACCAGTAATCAGAATATCCATCCTTCAAGATCAAGTATTTAAAATTTTGAAGGATAAAATCTTACACTGTTTCTGGACAAGGTGGAAACACTTAGGAAAATAAACTGACTTGCATTATAAGCTGATAGAAAGTAGACCAGATTAATTCTCTCACCCTCATTCTAGGAAGAGGGACTGTACTGAAAAAACACCTGATAAGTGGGGCACAAGGATTAACCAATACTGCAGAGCCCAGTGTTAATAAAGCAGACACACAGAAGCTGGGGAAGGCAAAGTCATTTTTTTCACAGAATTGAGGTTTCTAGTAAATAAAGAGCTGTTGAAATGTGTAAAAAAAACCCCAAAAAACCCCAAACCCCTGAAACACTATTGAAAACTTAGCTTTTTCATCACCGATGGAAGTTAAGAATATTCTAAATGAAATCAGCAAGAGCTTTATGATTGCTACCCTTCAATCAAAATCCTTCAGTTTGATGAAATAAGCATCTCTGCTGACTGACCTGGTAAAATTTCTGCTGCTTCAGCTAAAAAAAGTCTTCAGGATTTATTTACTGAGTAAGTTTAAGGATCAATCTAAGTATGATTTATTAAGTCTCACATCCAAGTGTAGTACTAGAATGTTTTAATTAAAACAGTATCATTAGAATAGTCATCTAATGAAATGCAAAGGACATTCAGACCAATTCATACTACATTCTCTCATAATGAAACTAAAGCAACTCTGAATTTAAGCAATTTATCTGCAGCAAGTCTTCTGTCTGATGTGACCTGACACAGGTGAGAGAGAGATTTATGGCAAACACCGATAGATTCTTAACTCTGCTACTGCTGGCGAGACACTCCAACGGCTAATAAGCACCTTAGCACATCAAGCTGTTCAAGTCTTCGGCAAGCAAGAGAGTGAACACAATAAAAGCCTCAGTTAAGTTCTCTAGGGCTCTCATTGAACTCTTCGCAGAGCAAGACAGACAGTCCAATTCAGTTGACTGGAACAATGAAGGTTTCTGTTGCTTCTATAACACGTCACAGGAATATAATCATTCCCCACTCTGTGTATTAACAGCTAATGCTGAGGATCTACATGAGAAAACCATACTGCACAGATTTGAAATTAAGAGAGTAGAGACCAGCTGAAATTCCTATCTAGATTTCATAAAGCTTTTCATTAATGTGTCCGTGAGAACTACAAGTAATTATACCTATCATGTGCCACGTTTTACATTAATTTCCTTAAGAAAAGCATAGATTGCTTCCTTATTAAACTTGAGCACTGACAGAGATGATGTGCAAGTATTTACTTATTTGTGTAATGACATGGCAGGGGGGTTGGACTAGATGACCTTTAAAAGTCCCTTCCAACCCAACCCTTTCTACAATCAGGATTTCCAAACAGAAATGTGCTAACTGTTCTGATGTTTCTATCACCTCCACACATCAGGGCAGGATCTTATCAGAGATAAGCATTTATAACCCAAAGAAGATGCATGAGCTGAAACAATAAACTCTGTTACATTTACAGACTTGTGTTCACAGCTGTGATACGGTACGGTTACAGTCCAGCAACAGGGTTGCTGCGCATCGATGCCTCACATCTGGGTCAGTAATAAATTTAGTCTGAAAGCAATTTTCATTACAGCTAAAAACAAAACGAGGCAGTTAGCCTTACCTTGGGTAGATTTAAACATGCTTTGCTGTTTGCCAGCTGGCTTCCCTGGGGTGGCAGTCACGACAGGATTGAATAATTTCTCCTCCATTTTTGCCTCCTTTACATATTGACATGATTTCCCCAGCAATACAATACTGTTAAGGACTTTCAGAGATATTAACCTGAAAAAAATGAAAGGATTTGTTTACATATTTGCATTAACATATTAAAATAGTTGCATATTATTCCTACTGCAATTATTCATATTTAATAATTGCATATGGTTACTGCTGTCTTGGAAGGATTAGCTATCAAATTAAATCCCTTCAATAGCAAGATCAAAAGGTAATTTCCTTTTCCTAACAATTTGTTTCAGATTCCATACTTCATTCTTATTTTTTCCACATGGCATGTAGAGAAAAACACCAAGTTTTATCACAGTTTAACAAAAGGACTATAAGGATTATAGTTAAGCAGCCATTTAATTCATCAAATATTTAAACATGGAACTAAAAAGCACCCTCAACAGTGCAGGTCCAAATTAAATGCTCTACTGTTAAAATTGTAGTCCTAAGTGTACCCAGCCAAGTGGACTCTGAACCACAAGAAAGCAAATATCTAGCTTTCACAAGTTACAGGCTAATCGTAAAACATCCTTTTTCACAACACAAAAGTCCATAAAATGCGAGAAATCCAAAGAACCAGCATTTCACTACCAACACAGCACAGTCCAGTTGATGGCAAATTCCTTTTATGTTATCAGTAATTTGCATCACAGACTTCAGCAAATCATTGAAGTCCATTTTATACTGATCCTCTCATTTGAAGAACAGAAAGGTCTCATCTACCATCAAGTGCTTTCAGATTTACAACTCAAATGAGCTTTGTAAAACCTAAGTTCCATTACTAGCATTACATGACCAAAGTCCATTCCAGAGGTGAAAGCTGAGGTGAAGCAGCTGAAAGCTCAGCAGAAAACCAAGGAAATAGTGATCTATTCTCTGTAGGATGAATATAAACAGTGCCCCTGCAAATGCAGACTCTAAATTCATATTCTCCACCTTCAGAAAACCTGTTTGTTTATGTGTTATTACTAACAGACTAAAGACTTGAACATTCACAGATTAAAATCCATGGAGCAGGTCTACCTGCTTGATTGTAAAGTGACCCAAGTACAATTCAGCAGCAGCTTCACCATCTCTCACTGCATTAATGTAATCAGAACTTGTCAAACAGAAAAACAAAGTACACTGCACTTTTAAGGGATTTTATGCAATACATTTACTTGTAGAAGAAATCTACAGAAATGGAAGAATGAGCAAAGCAGACCACTTTCAGTACTCAGAAGCAACTGACATTTTAGTATCCAAGCAACGACAAAGAAGATACCACTTTGTACTAAAGTTGAAAGCCATGATTTCTACAGTTTTATTAGGTTATTGGGACAGGTTTTGTTTCTGAGAGTTGAGAAGGTCTCCATTTAAAATAAATTTTAGATTTTTTTTTTTCCCCTACACTTCTTATGTAACATGCTTTTGTTCTAAGTAGTTGTTTACAGCACGATTTGACTCTGATTGAAGGAGATCAGAAGTTGAAAAGGCCGTACATCAACACTTCACTGTAAAAGTTCCAGCTTCTCATGGAAAATTATGCAAGTGCTTTTAGCCATTCTCCTTTATTCTTTCCTGCCAATCTCCCCCAGTCTCAAATTTCTAACATCAATGTAAGTTTGCAGTTGTTCAAAATCCTAGAAAAAAACCTCAAGTTTCATATGCTGGGCAAGACTCTTTTATAGTATAACCTACAGAATTACAGTTGTTCAGTATCAATACAAAACAACATCCCCCACATTACAGTCTCAATCCTTTGCCCAGTTAACTGTTTCAGATTTAATCACATTGTTTCTCACAGATCTACGCTACAGTGATCTGAGGAAAAGCTGAAATGTATGTTCACAACACAAATTACTTTAAAGACAAAAGGTGAGTTAGCTCCAAAACTGAGATCAGGGCAGAAGTAAAAATCTGTTCTCGCTTTTAAATAAGGACAAAGTAAATCAAAATGTATTTACTCTTGTGGCCTATGCCTTCGAAGAGCATCATTTAATCCTCCATATTAATCACATTACTTCTTCCTGCCCTCCATCCTCCGAGCCACAGAGACAGAAAAATCCAGGACTGGGCTGCAGCACTGGAATGGAGGGAAATATTACATATATTGGGAAAAAGGAAGAACTACTGAGCAAAATGAAGGTGCTGAGCTTGATATACCACAGTTTGCATGTGAAGATCAGGGGGTAGTGCCTTCAGAGCTGGTTCTAGGGAAAAGATGGGCCCAGCACGTGGTACACTGGGGAAGAAATCCAAGTACGGTGCAGAGGAATATGGCTAATATTTTAACATTTGGCCTAGATGCAATTATCTGAAAGTCCTAGTTATCTCATGCTAAAGACACGTGTGCCTACACTGATGCAGACTAGACACATCAGACCAAGTTCTACTTTTTTTGCAGATCAAAGTCAGATTAGACATAAGTGCCTACCTATTCATAAAAAAGAATTGTGTGGTAATCCCATTCTCTTCGTAAGTATTGTAAAACTTTGAACCACTGCCCCAGACCTAGAAGTCTTACTTACCAGGTCTTGCTGCCTTCAGTTACAAACACAACTTGATAAGGCACTGAAAAAGATTGCCACAATACTATGGGCAAAGGTTCTCTGTGCTGCAGCAATTTGAATCACTCAATTCTTTATGATCAGTTTTAGGAGGACTCCAATATCCATCAGTACCAAGAGACAACAAACACCGACACAGTTCAGTATGCAGCTTTCCTAGAAACTGGTCATCCCCATTGCTACGGTTTAACCCCAGTCAGCAGCTAAGCACTCCACAGCCACTCACTCACCTCTCTCCTCCTCCAGTGAGAAGGGGGAGAGAGGTGGAGGAAAAGAAAACTCGTGGGTTGAGATAAGTAGAGTTTAATAATTGAAAATAATAATATGTAAGGAGAAGGAAAACAACAAAAAAGATAAACCGCTCACCACGTGCTGATGCCCAGGCCAATGCCCCCTGTCCAACTCCCCACAGCTTACACACTGAGCATGACGTTTTATGGCATGAAACATCCCTTTGTTCAGTTTGGGTGAGCTGTCCTGGCTGTGTCTCCTGCCAGCTTCACCAGAAAGGCGAGCCTTGCATTTACTTTTTTTTCATATAGCAGTTTCCTAACATGAAGAAACCTTGCATTTAACTGCTAGAGAGAAGAATTTATGATCTACTCAGAGCACTTAAACTTCTTATTTTTATTAGCATATGTGCTGGATTCAGCCAGGAA